TAATTTTATTTTACTTTATCATATTTTATTTTATCTTATTTTGAGATGGAGTCTCACTCTGTTGCCCAGGCTGGAGTGCAGTGGCACAATCTCCACTCACTGCAAGCTCCGCCTCCTGGGTTCACACCATTCTCCTGCCTCAGCCTCCCGAGTAGCTGGGACTATAGTCGCCTGCCACCACGCCCAGCTAATTTTTTGAATTTTTAGTCGTTTTACCATGTTAGCCAGGATGGTCTCAATCTCCTGACCTCGTGATCCGCCCACCTCGGCCTTCCAAAGTGCTGGAATTACAGGCATGAGCCACCATGCCTAACCTGTTTGTTTCTTCTGAGGCAGAGTCTTGCCCTGTCACTCAGGGTGGATTGCAGTGGTAAGTTCACAGCTCACTGTAGCTTTTACCTCCTGGACTCAGGTGATCCTCCCACCTCAGCCTCCTGAGTAGCTGGCACTACAGGAGTGAACCACCATGCCTGGCTAATTTTTAGAATTTTTTGTAGATATGAGGCTTTGTTGCTGAGGTGCTTCTAGAACTCCTAGACTCAAGTGATCCTCCTGCTTGGGCCTCCCAAAGTACTGGGATTACAAATGTGAGCTACCATGCTCTGCCTTGGGCCTGAGGGTTTTAAGCCAGGTTAGCTATCAGTCTCCCTGTTGGAAGAGTCCTTTCTGGGCTGTGCTTCAGGGCTGTGTTTTTGGCCTCCATGATAGCATGTGTGGGGGATAGCCACAACTGGTACTGATTTCAGGGCCCTCACTGCAGGCCATGCAGATCTACTGGCATTCCCTGTGGCTTCAGACACATGAGAATCTTTCTGTGTGCAGTCTGGAAGGAGTGACACGGTCTTCCCAATCACTCTACTGCCTCGGGCTAGGATCTTTGTCTGCTCTGCTTTGCTGAGATGGTAGAACAGGGTTGTGACTTTGAAGGTTTGAGAAAACTGACATCATCCTCCATAAAAACTCCTGTGTTTGGACTTTGGGTTTGATGTGGAACTCTTCTGTCTGAGGCCTTTGTTTGGAGGTGGAAGCCCTGGTTCAGGACTGCCTTGCCCCTTCCTGAGAGAGCCAGGCTCAAGGAGTGCTCTCACTGATGTGGTCTGTTTGTTTTTGTCTCCAGGCCTAAGTTGTCACTAGGAGTCCTGACTCTGGAGGGGCCTCCAAATCTGGTCAGTCCAATTCCACCACCTATCAGCTGCTGACCTAGAGTGAGTTGGAGTTGGCTAACCTCGCTGAATCTCCTTTTGGTCATCTGTAACGTGGGAGTTGACTCACAGGGTGTGGTTACAAACAAGTGCACATAAGCTCTTTGCACATTTCTATGCCTAATATGCATTGGTGAAGATGAAGTGTTCACAACCAGACACTGTTATTTTGAGTTTTGTTCTTGGAAACACTTAAAATTGGAGGATAAAAATGGGGTTTTTCTGTTGTCTAACGGGATCTCCTAGGTCAGAGGTTTTAACCTGGGATCTATGACTAAACAGTTGAAAATTATTCACAAGGCTGGGATATCTCTGCCTCTAAGCAAATGTGTTGGGAGAGGGCCACAGTTGCCGAGACATTCTTAGAGGGTCTTTGTGCTCACAGAGACCTAAGGGTCAGCGAAGGCTGGTGTTCAGAGGTCATCAGAGTCTTTTCTGCTCCTCAAGGAGCCGGGCCTCAGCCTGCAGACTGTTGGGGTGAAGCAGGAGATGGTGTGGTCAGCGGCCCTCTCACAAAAGCTGTAGGAGAAGCTGTCATGATGGTCACTTCCCAGTCTAATGTGAGGCTGCCTCTGAGCCCAGGCTTTTTTTGTTTCTTTCCAGCCTATTACTTGTACAGTAAATGTGTTAGAAACAAGATCAGAGCTTGCTGGCTATTTTGGGGAACATCCTCCAGCCTGGCCTGGAGGATGTGAGAAGGGTAGGGATCGCAGGAGGGGACTTGCCTGTGTACAAAACACAGTGAATAGGCTTTCAATAGGTTCTGTTGTGTCTGTGTATGTAGCTGGATTGATGTAGGAGGGAATGGCTAGAGAGATGGGGATGAGGGTGGAACTTAGGGGGTTTGGCCTTTAAGCCAAAAGCAAGGGTGTTGTAGGGGAGGAGCATGGTCAGCTTTGTGGTTTAGAGCTCAGGGATGCAGAGTTAGCAGAGAAAGAGACGGGCCTTGACCAGAGGACCCAGCGACATCACTGGATGACGGTGGATTCTGACAATGTGGCTGTTGTGATCACTACGTGGAAATAAACACAAGATGGTGAAGCAGGCCTCAATCCACATAGTTTTGAAGGTTCCTTCTCATTTTCTGGGAGCCCCTGATCTGTCCTATTCCTCAGAGAGCTTACTCTTCCCCACTCTGCCCTGCCCTACCAGGCCAAAGGATCCTTTTCTTCCTTTATTCCTCCACCCCATTTCCTTCTACCACTACTTCAGTCAAGGAGTTTCTGTATCAGAAAGTTATCACAGGCTGGGTGTGGTGGCGCACGCCTATAATCCCAGCACTTTGTGAGGCCAAGCTGGGCAGATCACTTGAGCTCAGGAGTTGGAGACCAGTTTGAGCAATCTGGCGAAGCCCGGTCTCTGTAGAAAACACAAAAAGGAGCCAGGCGTGGTGGTGCTTGCCTGGAGTCTCATCTCCCTGGGAGGCTGAAGTGGGAGGATTGCTTGAGTCCTGAGGTTGAGGCTACAGGGGGCTGAGATGGCACCACTGTACCCTGACCTGGGGGACAGAGCGAGACACCCTTTTCATGCCCCAAGACATTTGCTGGTGCTGTTTCTTCTGGTTGGCATATCCTTTCTGAGGACTGCCCAACTTTGCTGTGAGCCAAGGGTAGAAGGAGACATGGCCCTTATCCATTCCTCCAGCTTTTCCCCTACCCTCAGAGCTCTTAGGCACGGGGTATGGCACCTTGGAAGCTGCAGCAAGGTCAGGGCATGTTGAGTGACTAAGCATAGCAAATGCTAGGGTGGAAGGGGCAGAAATGCCAGGGGCAGGAGCTGTGCTCTGCCGTAGGTCCTCTAAGTTTGTGTGTGGGTACAGCCAGAGTCTGACCCCTTGGAAATGTGACCAAGACCACAGTGAAGACTAGATGATGGTCCTGTGCTTTCCCCACTTGTTGATTTGTTTCTTGGCAGAGTGAACTAGGATACACCTTGTGTTCATGTGTGGCAGGCATGACTGGATCCAAGCTTTCTCCCCTGCTTGCTTTAGATTTTCCTGGACATTTCTTAGTCATCCCAGCACTGAGCTTCTATTTTTAGTGCCACTACCTCCTAGGGGACCTAAAATAAAGCTGGCTTAGCTTCCTGGTCCCTCATTGGCTTGAGTGTTGGTCACAGAGTGGAGGATTGGCTGTGTTGTCACTCTTCCTCTACATGATTCCTCCCCACTGGCTCCTCTGGCTTTGGGTGAGGTCACAAGGACTGGAGTGAGCTAGCACTTACCATATTGAGCTGAGGGCTTTATCATGTTCCCTTAGAGAAGCTTCACAACCACTGGCACTGTCAGGTTGCCATCCCCATCTTACAGTGGAGGAGGCTGAGGCCCTAAGAAGGGCAGTGACTTGCATCAGATCCCACCACTGCGAATGCTTGTCTGCTGGGATAAAACCCACGTCCTTACTGCTTTGGTTCAGAGTCCTATTATCAGGACAGAGGGGGTGGGCTCCTCTACAGTCGGGGCCAACCACAGAACAACACATGGGTCTGCAGTCAGGGGATCTGCAGCGAGATGTGGGCTTCCCTACTTGGAAGAAGCCTAGCAAAGCCCAAGCGACTCTCCCATCTGGGGCTTGGGTTTTCCATCCAGTATCCTTGCAGCCATGGTCTCTAGTTGGGAAGGGGCCTCCCCTCTTTCTCAGAGACCCAAGAGAGACAGCTCCTTAGGGTGAAGGCAATGCTGGGATGAGGGGATATGAAGTGATGACACATTTCCCCTCACAGCCTTCAGTCCTGCTTTCCACAACCCTCAGCTTTCCCTCTGATCCTTGAACTCACGTCCCCAGCTCTGAAGTGGGTAGGAGTTACTCCAGTCAATGAAGAAATATCCTAGAAAGGGCCAGGTCAGGTATCACCTGGCCTCGGGGAAGTAAACTGCCCCCATGAGACTAAGGGGTCACTTGCTGTTTTTGTCAGAAGAGGGGCCTTGACTGGGTGCAGTGGCTCATGCCTGTAATCCCAGCACTTTGGGAGGCCAAGGTGGGTGAATCATCTGAGGTCTAGAGTTTGAGACCAGCCTGGCCAACACGGTGAAATCCAATTTCTACTAAAAATACAAATTAGCTGGGTGTGTTGGAGGGCGCCTGTAATCCCAGCTACTCCCGAGGCTGAGGCAGGAGAATCCCTTGAACCCGGGGAGCGGAGGTTGCCGTGAGCCAAGATCGTGCCATTGCACTCCAGCCTGGGCAACAAGAGTGAAACTCCATCTCAAAAAAAAAAAATAAAAGGAAGAAGAGGGGCCTTGAGAATCTGCCCCCATCCTCACTGGGTCTTCTTCCATCTGTCAGCATAGCCCTGGGACAGTGTTAGGGGCCTGAGCGCTGTAATACAAAATAGTACACACACACAGATATCAGTTGTTCTGGGCTGTAAAGTGGGAAGAACAGCAATAACTCTGACCTTGCAGTTTGTTGAGAGGATTACATGGAAAGATATTGGAAGAGTGCTTAACTCCTCCCATAAGGACCCTCCCCTTACTGGGCTTTCAAGGGCCTGCTCTGACCTTACTTTGTTGTAGATCCACCCTCAGCATCCCTCCTGTGTGCTCCACGACCCTGTCATCTATGTGTCTCATCAACCAAGAACTCAAAGGAAAAGCTGGGTCTGGTCCACCTCTGGGCTCCCAGCACTGGTCTGACTTGGGAGGGGTCTCCTGCCAGTTCCCCAGGGCCTCTCCGTGTACTCTGAGAGAACAGATCTCAGCAAAGGACTCCAGGAAGGCCAGTGAGGGGTGGGGGTCAGTGGCTGGTCACCTACTTTTGTGGTACCAATGCTTCCCTCCTGGTCTCATTGGTCTTGCAGGTCTCCGTGAGGCCGGGTGACGCTCCAGAATGGGAGACAAGCCAATTTGGGAGCAGATTGGATCCAGCTTCATTCAACATTACTACCAGTTATTTGATAATGATAGAACCCAACTAGGCGCAATTTACGTAAGTTTCCAGCTCTAGGGCCAGAATAGGACCTAAGGGAATCAATCTGGATGTTGGGCGAGTATGTCCAGTTCACAAGTTTTGGCAGCCCTACCTGGACTGGCTACACCTCTGTATCTGAGCTTTTGTCCATGGGACGGGTCTGAGGCCTGGCCCAACTAACTACCTGGTCTATACTTTTCCTTCTGTCAACTTCCCACAAGAGTGGGAATCTTGCTATTCTGGGCAGGGTATTCTGGACTTGCCATTCCATGTGGCCAGCACTTGTCGTGGCACATGGTTTTGGGTTGGGCAGCAATAGGCAGAGGTTAGGGCTCATGGTGCCCTCTGGAGGCAGCAGCCATGAGCATCCTCAGTGCAAAGCTAAGCTCTCCTGGAGGCCTGGAGTCCAGCTTCCTTTTGGATCCAAAGCTCCTGAATGCTCATGGGAAACAAATGGGGTTAGCCCAAGGGAGGCTGATATGTCATTTGACAAACCCTTCTATGCAGGCATTGTTGACTGCTCCTTTTTTGAGATGGAGTCTTGCTCTTTCACTGGGCTGCAGTGTAATGGCTCGATCTCAGCTCACTGCATTCTCTGCCTCCTGGGTTCAAGTGATTCTCCTGCCTCAGTCTCCTGAGTAGCTGGGATTACGGGTGCCTGCCACCATGGCCAGTTAATTTTTTGTATTTTTAGTAGAGACGGGGTTTCACCAGGCCAGGCTGGTCTCGAACTCCTGACCTCATGATCCACCCACCTTGGCCTCCCAAAATGCTGGGATTACAGGCGTGAGCCACCACTCCCGGCGTTTGCTGCTCTTATAGTGGTGTTCATATACACCAAGAACTAATTGTAATTGACTCTGCCTGAGATTCAGTCACAAAAGTGTGATTGATCAGGCAGGTGAGCCTGATGGGGGTGATAGGAGTAATCCAGGCACAGTCTCAGAGCCTGACTGGGCTGAGTGTCCATAGTCTTCTGTGTCTGTCTCCAGAAAGTCAGGGTCCATTCAGAAATTTTGGAAAAAATCAGGAAATCTTATTAGTGGAAGACCAATTCCAGCACAGATATTATTTGATTGTCATTGTCATAGTAGAGGTTTTTTGTTGTTGTTGTTGTTTTTTGAGACAGAGTCTCACTCTGTCACCAAGGCTGGAGTGCAGTGGGGTGATCTCGGCTCACTGCAGCCTCTGCCTCCTGGATTCAAGCGATTCTTGTGCCTCAACCTCAGGAGTAGCTGAGACTACAGGCATGTACCACCAAGCCTAATTTTTTTTTTTTTTTTTTTTTTTGAGATGTAGTCTTACTCTGTCGCCCAGGCTGGAGTGCAGTGGCACAATCTCGGCTCACTGCAACGTCTGCCTCCTGGGTTCAAGCTATTCTCCTGTCTCAACCTCCCAAGTATTTGGGACTACAGGCACATGTCACCACGCCTGGCTAATTTGTGTATTTTTTAGTAAGGGATGGGGTTTCACCGTGTTAGCCAGGTTGGTCTTGAACTCCTGACCTCAGGTGATTCGCTCGCCTCAGCTTCCCAAAGTGCTGGGATTACAGGCATGAGCCACCGCGTCCGGCTATGCCTAATTTTTGTATTTTTAGTAGAGGTGACATTTCACCATGTTGGCTAGGCTGGTCTCCAACTCCTGACCTCAGGTGATCTGCCTGCCTTGGCCTCCCAAAGTGCTAGGATTTACAGGTGTGAGTTACCATGCCCAGCATAGTGATCTGACCTGAGATCCTGGCAATTCTGCCTCATTATCTCTTTTTTTTTTTTTTTGGTGGGGGCAGGGGGAGGTGAAGTCTCACTCCGTCACCCAGGCTGGACTCCATTTGTGCAATTTTGGCTCACTGCATCCTCCGCCTCCCAGTTTCAAGCAATTCTCATGCCTCAGCCTCCCAAGTAGCTGGGGTTACAGGTGCGCACCACCATGCCCAGCTAATTTTTATATTTTTAGAAGAGATGGGGTTTCACCATGTTGGCCAGGCTGGTCTGGAATGCCTGACCTCAAGTGATCAGCCCACTTTGGCCTCCCAAAGTGCTGGGATTACAGGTGTGAACCACTGGCCTCATTATCTCTTTTTTTTTTTTTTTTTTTTTTGAGACAGAGTCTTGCTCTGTCGCCCAGGCTGGAGTGCAGTGGCGCCATCTTGGCCCACTGGAAGCTCTGCCCCCTGGGTTCATGCCATTCTCCTGCCTCAACCTCCCAAGTAGCTGGGACTACAGGCGCCCGCCACCATGCCCGACTAATTTTTTGTATTTTTAGTAGAGATGCGGTTTCACCATGTTAGCCAGGATGGTCTCGATCTCCTGACCTCGTGATCCACCCACCTCGGCCTTCTGAAGTGCTGGGATTACAAGCGTGAGCCACTGTGCCCAGCCTGGCCTCATTATCTCTTAGAGCAGGCCTGAGCCAGAGAGTTAGGAAGGTCCTAAAAGAACAATTTATATTTATTATTTCATAATATTCAGCACATTACCCCTTTGAAGGTTAGGAAACTAAGACTCAGAGAAGTAACTTACTAATGTCACAGCTAGTAAGTAGCAGAGGTCCTTTTGAGTTCTGCCCTTGAAGGCTGTGGAAGGGAAGATTTGAGGTGGAACTAAGCTAAGTGGGTTACATGTGAGATATTGCTTCTTGGTGGTAGGGAGGGTCCCAGACTAGGCCTTGGGAGGCCTTGTCAGCCTCTATCTCTCCCTGACCCCAGGGGTATCCAGAAGGCTAGCTAGAAGGTCCACAGTAGAACTCAGCCTGGGCTTTGGAAGGTGATGAATGTGGAATTTTTCCAAGTTATTTCTGATGACTTTTTTTTTTTTTTTTTTTGAGATGGAGTCTCACTCTGTCACCCAGGTTGGAGGGCAGTGGCGCGATTTCGGCTCACTACAACTCCCCTTCCCAGGTTCAAGCGATTCTCCTGCCTCAGCCTCCTGAGTAGCTGGAATTACAGGCGTGCGCCACCATGCCCAGATAATTTTTGTATTTTTTAGTAGAACTGGGGTTTCACCATATTGGTCAGGCTGGTCTTGATCTCCTGACCTTGTGATCTGCCTGCCTTGGCCTCCCAAAGTTCTGGGATTACAGTCATGAGCCACCGTGCCTGGCCATATTTCCGACACCTTTTGGGGACTGACACCACACAGCAGGATGGCTGAGCTCAGGCCACATATAGGCCTCCTGGGCCTATGCATATCAGTGGCCGTATGACTTCTTAAATACAAATGGGAAGTATATTTAATTAAATAGTCTTTCAGAGCCTGGGTCCATGGGACAATGGGGTATACTTGAAGATGTTGACAGTGTAATGTTTGGGGGTTATGCTCAGTCTCCCTCTTTAGACAGGGAAACTGAAGTGTGGGCACACTTCTCCAAGCAAGACCCTTTTCAGAGTCTTTCCAGGGCCTTAGAGATACCTGTACTCTGAGGTCCCAACCCTGGGGTTTCCTCTGCATTTTTCAGATTGATGCGTCATGCCTTACGTGGGAAGGACAACAGTTCCAGGGGAAAGCTGCCATTGTGGAGAAGTTGTCTGTAAGTAGGGATGAAAGCCAGGGTGCAGGTGGCTCCTTTCCCACCTCTTCGGGCCTTGGTTCTCCCACCTCCCACTCTCTCTCTTGCAGAGCCTTCCGTTCCAGAAAATCCAGCACAGCATCACCGCGCAGGACCATCAGCCCACTCCAGATAGCTGCATCATCAGCATGGTTGTGGGCCAGCTTAAGGTAATGGTGCTGTCGCAGTGGTAGGGAGGAGTGGGCAGGCAGAGGAGAGTCTTGTGTCCCTGCTTTCCCTGTGGATGTGGTCAGCTTATCTAGGGACACCCAGACAAAGTGACTGTCTAGAGCTGCGTAGTTCAGTATGCTAGCCATTATCCACATATAGGTGGCAATTTTTAAGTTGCATTAATTAAGATTAAAACATACTTCTTCGGCTATACTAGCCATATAGAACATTTTTGTGACTGCAGAAAGTCCTATTGGCAGACACTGGTCTAGAGCCTTTATCTGGAAAAGGGAGAAGTATTGGAGCAGGATGGGACTGGGGTGCCAAGCCACTAGGCTCCCACCTGCCCCAAGGTCAAGGTGGACAGGCCAGCTGAGTGTTGAGAGGCAGTCCACTACTGTAGCCCTTGCTACCACTCCTCAGGCTGGCTGCTGGCTCCTCACCTGCTGAGCAAAGCAGATTCCTGGAACTCTCTCTTTCTCTCACTCTCTCTCTCTCGCTCTCTCTCTTTTTTTTTTTTTTTTTTCTTTTGAGATGGAGTCTGGCTCTGTCTCCCAGGCTGGAGTGCAGTGGCCGGATCTCAGGTCACTGCAAGCTCTGCCTCCCGGGTTTTACACCATTCTCCTGCCTCAGCCTCCCGAGTAGCTGGGACTACAGGCTCCCGCCACCTCGCCCGGCTAGTTTTTTTGTATTTTTTTTTTAGTAGAGACGGGGTTTCACCGTGTTCGCCAGGATGGTCTCGATCTCCTAACCTCGTGATCCGCCCGTCTCCCAAAGTGCTGGGATTACAGGCTTGAGCCTCCCAAAGTGCTGGGATTACAGGCTTGAGCCACCGCGCCCGGCCCTTTCTTTCTTTTCTTTCTTCTCTTCTCTTTCTATTTCTTTCTTTCTTTCTTCTCTCTCTTTCTTTCTTTCTTCTCTTTCTTTTTCTTTTTCTTTTTTTTTTTTTTGGAGACAGAGTCTCGCCCTTGTTGCTCAGGCTGGAGTGCAGTGGCACAATCTCAGCTCACTGCACCTCTACCTCCCGGGTTCAAGCGATTCTCCAGCCTCAGCTTCCTGAGTAGCTGGGATTACAGCTGCCTGCCACCATGCCCAGCTAATTTTTTGTATTTTTAGTAGAGACACTGTTTCACCATGTTGGCCAGGCTAGTCTTCAACTCCTTGACCTCAGGTGATCCACCCGCCTTGGCCTCCCAAACTGCTGGGATTATAGACATGAGCCACCGCCCAGCCTGGAACTCCTATTTCTCTTTGCATTTTCCTTTCTCCTTCTCAAGACTCGTTATTCTCAGAGACTTCCTGTGGTCCCGCAGACCTGCCAGGAACTCTCCAAGGACCTGCTGTGCTTCAGCCTATTAAAGCCAGATTCTGGGCCAGGCGCAGTGGTTCATGCCTGTAATCCCAGCACTTTGGGAGGCCGAGGCAGGTAGATCACCTGAGGTCAAGAGTTCGGGACCAGCCTGACCAACATGGAGAAACCCTGTCTCTACTAAAAATACAAAATTAGCCAGGTGTGGTGGCACATGCCTGTAATCCCAGCTACTCGGGAGGCTGTGGCAGGAGAATTGCTTGAACTCAAGAGGCGGTGGTTGTGGTGAGCCGAGATTGCACCATTGCACTCTAGCCTGGGCAACGAGAGCAAAACTCTGGCTCTAAATAAATAAATAAATAAATAAATAAATAAATAAATAAAGCAAGCCCGATTCTGTTTCCAAAAACACCCTTCTTCCCAAAAATAGCAGGACAAATTGGCTGCCCCTTGGCCTGGGCTTGTGTCTCACAATAACATGGTCACATGCTCGCTCTCTCTAGCCTAGCTGGGACAGGGCTTCCTGAGTCCAGAGTGGGTGTGTAGGTGGTCCTGTGGGCCTCTGCAGTGGACGCAGAGGCACCTGCTTTCTGGCCTGGACTTTCCTGTGTCAGTTTATCCTGCCTGTCCAAGATGTCTTGCTCAGTGCCTGCGCCTGACGAGGGACAGAATTCAGGAGGTCTCTGTAGGGAGTTCATTGCTCACTTTCTCAGGCAAGGGTAGTAAACACTGCTCCTTCCCACCTGGTTTCACGTCCTTCCTGGTGATTCTGTCCAATTTGGAGCTCCCAAGCAACTGATTTGCCTCCTTGATGACGATAATTCCCAGAAAGCAGGTGATGTTAGAGACAGTGCTGGTTAGCTAGGCTCCTGTTTCAACTAGGCCTCATCCTAGTTTTCTGCAGTTTGGCTGCAGGTTTCTTACCTTTTTTTTCATCTCAAATACTGTTTATTACATGACAGGAAACATCATCAGATGGTGAACCTATGTTTTCAATATTGTTTGCAGTTTTTTTGATACGCTAAGTACTTGGTAAATACTATGGGATTAATTTCAAAATTATGATCACTTGTGCCTGGAGGTATGTGCTTGGAGGCAGGTACATCTTCTGTCTTTGCTATAGCTAAGGGTGAATTATTGTGCAGTTTAAGCACACATAGCAGTAGGCGTGGCTGATTGTTGACCTCCATGTGCCCAGGGCATTGTTTCATACATTATATCAATTCACATTCACAAGTACCCCTTGGCTATACTGGGATTTGAGTTCAGGACAGTAGGGCCTGATCCTAAAGTCCACATTTTTTTGCCCTATTCTCCTACCACTGAATTCTCTTCCTGTTTCTTGATCCCCTTACTGAATCCTCTCTTTCTCCTCACAGGCGGATGAAGACCCCATCATGGGGTTCCACCAGATGTTCCTATTAAAGAACATCAACGATGCTTGGGTTTGCACCAATGACATGTTCAGGCTCGCCCTGCACAACTTCGGCTGACCTCCTCTCAACTAGGCACTCACGCTGTTTCCTCCTCCCTCCTCTTCCCAATACTATTCCCACTCCTCCAGATGCTCCAAATATCATGCACAAATGAGCAGGGCCGCGGCGGGAGTGGGCGCAGTGCGCTGCTGCCACCGAGGTGTTGTGCATGATGTTTGGACACTAGACTAGTTGCATCTGATGGGAGAAATTTGTGTTGTACCAGCGCATGCCTTGGAAAGACTTAAGTAATGCAAAAGGTTGTCCTTTTTTTTTTTTTTTTTTTTTAATCTACTGACAAGTTGCTCTAGTAACCCAAAGAAGTGAAGGAGAAAGCAGCTGCCTCACCGCCCAGACATTGATTTGTTCAGATGTTTCAATGCCTCATGATACAATAAAACCACAAAAATTTTCTTAACAGTTTAAATTGTTTTAATTAGTTTACTAGTTGGCTGGGCATCGAAAGCCACCCGGACCCATTGTCTGTCTCATGTCTCACCCTCCCACTTCTGCCCCAACTCTGAATACCTGTTTCAGGGAGAAACTGCTGAAGCAGCACTCCCAGCTAGCCTCTCAGAAGCCCTGTAGGGCAGTTCTCTCCCACTCCGCAGGGCGACTGGTCTTGGGAAAGCAGGCAGGAAGAGCTTAGGTCTGACTTGAAGCTTCTCGCACTGAAGCCTGTGCAGTCAGTTCTGATACCTCCTGTGACTTCTGCTCTGGCGAGGTTCAGGGCTCTAGTAGCAGGAGAGATGATCCTGAATCCTGTTGAAGCTGGAGAGGCCTTGGCAAAATGTCCCATCACATTCAGGCCCTGAGGTCTCAGCAGTATCAAGGGAGGGGTCCGCTGTATCCCCAGAAGGATCAGGATCATATCGGATCAGGATCATATCCAGGGTGCCCCACATACACCAAGCCAGGCAGAGGGCAGCTCAGCTCCTGTCCCATCTGCTTTGGATATCATTACCCAAAGGCAGGTAATCCGAAGAGCCAGCCTCCACTGCCCACAGAGCTAGGCCCAGTTGGGTTGGAGTATAGGTCAAGAGCTGTGGAAGGAGGCAGTCTGTGAGGGACTCATAATTTAGGAGTCCTCACCCCTCAGACTGCTGCAGGACATTGCCAGGCCTCTCTCTATTCCCTTCCTCAGAATACAGACTTCATGCTGTCTTCAAATCCCAGGGAGTCTTAGCTGTTAGGGCAGTTTCTGCTTCTCCATTTTGGGGACAAAGGCCTTGCCCAGTACAAATCTAGCCCCCCATCCCACAGACTTCTGGATGGTATAAACCTAGTGGCAACGTAGCAACGATAGGCCAGAACCAAACCCAATATTTGGGTCAGTGCCCTCTTAAGGGTTTTAGGATTGGTAAGGACACCATAGCTAAATCTGACGTGTAAAAGGATACCCTTCCCCCATCCCACTGCGGGTGGAGGCTAAGGACCTCTTCAGATCCCATAGATTGCCGGGTGACATTGGGCACAGGGCTGGATGGTGTGCTATTTGAGAGGACAACATGCTCAGGAGATTTCAGTGGGAATGATCTCTAGACTGATGTGTATTTGGGGAAGTGGGGGTGGGGAAGAGGTAGGTGCCTGCTGCCTCAAACCACCTTGTGTAAAATCTGCAATACAGCTTCTTCCATGTACCTGTGCCTGAACTGTCTGCAATAAAGAAGAATTTGTAAACTGTGGTTTCTTTCTTCTAACCTGAGGGTGCCAGGTGGGACAAGGGGATGCTGGGGGACAGTAGGGAACAATGACTGATCATTGTGGTGGGACCATCTCTGCTCTTGCAATTCCTGAGTTTTATGACCTCGAGGGTCGCCTCAGGCCTTGAGTTATTCCCACCCATTCTCCAAAGGAAACCTGAGGCACCTGCCAATTCAGCATATTCTGGGGGTCTGAAGGACCTTAGCATGGGCGGCTGAGTTGACCCCGTCCTGGGACCATCGGAGTCCATGCTCTGGGAGTGGGCAGGGACCTGGCGGCTTCTGAGTCGAGTAGGGTTCTGGGTGGCCCAGTGCGTGGACGTTTACCTCATCATCCCTGTGGAACTTCCCTGACCTCGCGGGCACAGGGGCGGGGCCGCCGAGGGGGACGGGCTGCGGGAGGGGTTTAGGCTTCCGCCCCCAGCCCGGAACCTTTCTTCTCCGTCCCTGGCAGGTTCCGGAAGCCTCGGCTAGTGGGGGCCGGAAGTGGAGGCGGTTGGTGGGGTTGGTGGGGTTGGTGGGGTTGGCGGGGCTGGGGGACGGTACGCGGGCGTTGGTTTGCGAACTGCGGGTGGACTGAGTGTAGTGACCGGCGTCCTGCTGTCTCGCCCCGTCGCGGGTGGGCGAGGGTGGGTGGTGCGCGGCGGCGGCGGAACGAACGCGGTGCGGGCTGGGCGCCCGCCGCTGGGCTCATGGCCTCCTGCGCGAGCATCGATATCGAGGACGCCACGCAGCACCTGCGGGACATCCTCAAGCTGGACCGACCCGCGGGCGGTGAGCGGGGGTTGCGGGGGTGGGCCCCAGGCGAGCTGACAAAAGGGCGGCGCGCGTCTGAACCGCCCTTGGGGCCCGCAGCTCCCTTAGGACCAGCTCTAGATCTTCCTGGCGGGTAAGGGTGGACGGGGATTGACTGTGCCCCTCGAAGGGCGCAGACCCCTGGGTGTGACCCCTCCCTATCTTGTCCTCAGGCTGTTCTGCCTCGTCCTTCAACGTCTGGGTTGAAGGTGAAGTCCCTTCTCTGAATCCGCTGGGGCCCTCTGGTTTCCTGGCCCCGAGGTCTGTAGTGTTCCTGGGACTGGCCTAGCTTCTCTTCCCTTTCGCCATGATTCAGAGGCCTGGTCTGGGCTCCGTATATGGAATTCTGGGCCTAGGCTTAAGCGAGACGCTGAAGAGTCGCCGGTCCCCCCCATAACTTGGCCCTTCTCTCTGGAATAAAGACTCCAGGCCTCCCGTTCTGAAACTGATTTCCAGGAGGAAATGGAGGAGGTGTCCAGCCTCAATTCTGTGTTCTTTCTGGGATGAAGGCAAACCACAGACCGCACCACCCTGACTGAATTAGGCTACAAATATTTCCAAGCCCTAATTTGTTCCCATTCATTCATATTTCGCTTTTAATGATACCTCAGAACTAATCTTGTCCCCATAGATTCCCCAAGACACAGCTAACAGGGTTGTAATATACTGTTGTCATTGAAAGAGAGGAGTGTCTCGATACTGTGATGGGCATGGGAAGGGTGGAGGCTGGTGAGTGCAGAGTGCAGGTCTGAGAGGGGAGAGTGGGCTAGGTCTGGTAATGTGAACAGGGTCTTGGGTGTCAGAAAAGGCACCCAAGGCATGTATGTAGAAGGCACCTATTAGGAAAAGGAAATAGCACGTGTGGAGGTACTAGTTTACTGACAGGTTTAGGGATCTCTGAAGTGGCCGGTGATGATGGTGTGGGTGTACAGTGGAGGACTGATGTTTCCTCAGATCTTGTTCTTACACCTGCTGGGAGGCCCAGACTGGCTGCTTCTGGAAGCAGGCACTGGTGCTCACTAGGGGTGGATTCAGCTAAGCCCTACTTTCAGAAAATCCATTTGCTGCCTGAGACCACTGGGTCCTTTGTGCCAGGCCTGGAGTGTGTGCCCTCTTCACTCATGAGTTGGGCGTGGACCTCTTCTGCTGCTCAGCTGCTTTGCAGACTAGACTCTGCAGAGATTTGGTAGAGCCTGGCATGGCCAACCATGTACAGCCTGGGCCTGCTTTTTGGTTGTCCTCATGGTACCCTTCATGGAAGGAAGAGTGGTCAGCTTGTCACTGAACAGCTAAAGTGGCTCTGATCCGAATGAAGTGGCCTGGAGGCTTTCCTTATAACTTCTTTGTTTATTGATTGGCACTTGATTCCCTTGTTTGCCAAGCAGCTCTTTCTTGTCTCCTCTCACTGGAGGACCAGGTCAGAACTCAGACTGTTGAGGGCTGGGTGCGGTGTCTCCCGCCTATAATCCCAGCACTTTGGGAGGCCGAGGTGGGTAGATTGCTTGAGGCCAGAAGTTCGAGACCAGCCTGGCCAACATGGTTTCCCAACATGGTGAAACCTCGTCTCTACTAAAAATATAAAAATTGGCCGGGCACAGTGGCTCACGCCTGTAATCTCAGCACTTTGGGAGGCCGAGGCAGGCGGATCACAAGGTCATGAGATTGAGACCATCCTGGCTAACTTGGTGAAACCCCATCTCTACTAAACATACAAAAAATTAGCCGGGCATGGTGGCGGGCACCTGTAGTCCCGGCTGCTCGGGAGGCTGAGGCAGGAGAATGGTGTGAACCTGGGAGGCGGAGCTTGCAGTGAGCCAAGATTACGCCACTGCATTCCAGCCTGGGCGACAGAGCAAGACTCCAAAGATAAAAAAAAAAGCTGGGTATGGTGGCTCACGCCTGTAATCCCAGCACTTTGGAAGGCCGAGGTGTGTGGATCACAAGGTCAGGAGTTCGAGACCAGCCTGGCCAAGATGGTGAAACCCCGTCTCTACTAAAAATAAAAAGAAAGTAGCCGGGCACGGTGGCACGTGCCTGTAGTCCCAGCTACTTGGGAGGCTGAGGCAGGAGAATCCCTTGAACCTGGGAGGCGGAGGTTGCTGTGAGCTGAGATCATGCCACTGCACTCTAGCCTGGGCAACTCCATCTAAAAAAAAAAAAAAAAACTTAGCTGAGCTGTAATCCCAGCTACTTGGGAGGCTGGTGCAGGAGAACTGCTTCAACCCAGAGGGTGGAGGTTGCAGTGAGCCAGGATCGCGCCAAAAGAACTGAAAGACTATTGTGAGTGGAAACTTGCTATGTTCCTGTATGTGGAGCCCTAGGCTCCTTGTCATTTGGGAATTTTGGAAATGGTGTCTGAGCCTATGAGAGTGTTTGAAACCCAGCCAGTTGCAAAGAACTGAAATGCTGTCTTTCCTTACTCCACACTCTGTCCCATAGTTTCTCTCCTTTTGGTCCAGCTCCTTTATGTCCCTGCATTCTGTGTTTACTTGCCCAAGATAGCTTCTTCTGAGCCATTTCTGTGTGGGGCAGCCCCTTCCACATCTTACCAGTGCCCTTCCATGCCTTAGGAGCCCATCTTCTCTCCAGATCTTGACACTACGTTGGTCTAGGCCTTGATCTCTCTCACCCAGATTCTCAACCATTCTGCCTGCTATCTTAGTCATCCCACTGGCCAGAACTGACCGCGTCACCTTCCCCTTTGAAACTATGGTTCTCATGGCCCACAGGGAAGAGTCTAAGTGCCACAGCATCATACCTGATGCCTCTGCAGCTTTGTTTTCCCTCCATCCTTCCTGTGTTTGTGTGTTCTGGCCACACTAACTGCTGTATAAAGTCTTTCCTGACCGTTCCTATGCCCTTACTCAGAGTCCACAGAGTTCTGTGATAACCCAGGCCTGAGTATTAACTGGCCTGAAAGGGTCCTTGATGGCTTGTACCCCTCCCCCAGGCAGAAGAGCCTCATGCTCATCCTTGGTCCTGCATACATCAGCGTTTATGGAACGAGAGATGAACACAGGGCCCTCCTCCTCATGGACATGCTTTGCTCAGTTGAGTGTTCTTAGAACACCTCATAGTTCTTGAAGGAAATTCTGCAAGGGGAGAAGCTTGTGGGCAGGTCGAGCAACCTTATCAGAGTGACCCTCTCTGTCCCCAGGCCCCAGTGCAGAGAGCCCACGGCCATCCAGTGCCTACAATGGGGACCTCAATGGGCTTCTGGTCCCAGACCCGCTCTGCTCAGGTGATGGTACCTCAACAAACAAGACTGGTCTTCGGACCATGCCACCCATTAACCTGCAAGAGAAGCAGGTCATGTGAGTACCTAGGAGACGACAATGGTGGTGATGGTGTGTTTGGGGTGTCTTCCTAGCTGAAGCCATGAGATGGGGAGTGAGCAGGGCCAGCAGCCTCTGCTGCTTCCTCTCTCGATGACCTGGGGTGGAGTTTGAGCTTGCACTAGGATGAGAGGCAAGGACAAGCTCAAGGGTTTGGCCTGGATACCTGGTTTAAAATTAAAGTAGACTCATTCTCAAGGAAGGAGGTGAGCAAGCGGAGCTGTGGGTCTGGGGCCGGTGTACCAGGCAAAGCTGACATTGGACTAGATACCTTTACCAGGCTGGCTATGTCCTCGCTTCCTCCCATCCCTGCCCATTGAGCCTTTGGGTGAACAAGAGACAAAGTTTTTGCACTCTTCCCCACAGCTGTCTCTCAGGAGATGATAGCTCCACCTGCATTGGGATTTTGGCCAAGGAGGTGGAGATTGTGGCCAGCAGTGACTCTAGCATTTCAAGCAAGGCCCGGGGAAGCAACAAGGTAGGTACTAGGATGCTGTGGCATATATAATGTATAGGGGCACACCCAGCCTTTCCGGTCTCCCTCATGCTGCCAGTTCCTGTGGGGCCACCTTGACACTTTCCCAGTTTCAAGAAGCCAGGGCTGGGTGCCAAGCCTCTGTGGGAGTCTGGCTCCAGGAGGTAACAGTGGGTAGCTGGACTTGCATCTGTGTCCTTTCCCATCCCCAGGGATGTTGGGGGCCACCTAGGCTCTAGGGAAGTTCCATGACTTTTCTCACCCTGGGTTCTCAGGTGAAAATTCAGCCTGTCGCCAAGTATGACTGGGAGCAGAAGTACTACTATGGCAACCTGATTGCTGTGTCTAACTCCTTCTTGGCCTATGCCATT